CATTGGCGGTTGATACTGCAGTGGGAAGGCCACGTTAAGGATGTGCCAGCCAAAAGCCTGGGGTCCTAGAAAATCAGGGCTCGGGCTTCGGTCCTCGCCATTGTCGTAGCGTTCGCCACGACGAGGGTGGTAGCCGCAGCAAGCCTCCTCTCTCTTACACTCCCGCCCGCGCCTACGGGCGTCTAGGGTGTTGCGTGCGTCATGAATGTGGCCGATACACTCATGTATCGGGACCATGGTGTGCCTCCAACCGTCGTGCGGCGCCTGGTGGATAGATATGTCCCTGCCATGTTGTCTCGAATACGCGCACTGACTGCGTCGAGCTCGCATTGTTGGGACAACAAGCTTTCTGCCTGCTGCACCACTGCGCGCTCGAGCAGCATGCAGATCTCACGATGGGCCCGACAGTCTCTAGGTGTCGCGGGCTTCAGGAGCCCTCGGAGCAAGGCCGCCATGGTAGCTATGTTCTAGCTTGCCCAAGTGAAGTGTGGGAGACCATCGTCGTCCTCGATGATCCTCCGGTTCACGTCACCGGCGATGGCATGCGCACGCCCACCATCTTCGCGACGCTCGATCTCGCGTTCGAGCTCCGCGCACACCTGCTCTAGCTAGGGTCGTGCCTCCTCGAGCTCCTTGTGCCACGCCTTCAGCTGCTCCACCCGTAGGAGAGGAAGGTCCCCTGCGTCCCCCTCAACCTCGTCATCGGGGTCATCCGTAGGAGTAGCTCATCCCTTGTGGACGCTTTCGACGCGTCCCTTAGGGGTGCCTACCATGAAGCATTCTCGCGAGGGGTGATGGCTTCCCCTACTAGAGTCAGAGTCGGAGATCGTCTCTGAATCTCCCATGAGAAGGTCGTGGAAAGATTCCGCGATGTAGTCTGTCATACCCACGAACTCATCATTCATGAGGGACAGGTGCATGCACCACGCTATGAGGTAGGTCCTTGCAGCGTTGTGCAGACCGAACGGGAACGCTGTCGGGGCGTTCCGGATGAGGTATTCCGGGGAGAGCGGTTCTCCTCTGGCAAGCTACGTCATGACGTTGACGAACTAGAAGATGAGGTAGCGCAGACCCTCCTAGGACGGTCGGGGTCCCAGGAAGGTGTCGAGCTGGTGCTCCAACTTCTCGTAATCGAAGCCGAGAAGCTGGTCGCTCTTGGGGGCGTGGGCCTCTAGGGTGTGCAGCTATAGCTCCTCGAGGGCCTCGATGATTGCGTCGAGGCCAGCGGAGTGAAGAGGTCGGGCAGGGGTGGGAGCCCGCGCCAACTCTCTCCTTGTGGTGATGATGAAATCCAGGCTCCCAAAATGCACGTGCGCGTCCGGGACCCAGCTGATGTCGTGGCTAGCCATCCGTGGCCTGCTGTGGACGATGAGACGCGCAAAAGGCCCCTATCTGGCGCGCCAACTATCGGTGTTTCAAACTGCCGATGAGTAAATTTGTGATTGCGCGTCTGGCCCGGATGGTGTGCTCGGAGAACACAAAGATTTATACTGCTGCTCGTGTTACCGGCACTTGGTTTGTAGTAGGGGTTACAAACGGGCGAGAGAGGGAGAAGGTCCCAAGTCTCTAGTGAAAGAGTCGAGCAGAGTTGTGTCTGGTTGAGCTCCCCTCCCTAGGGCATCCAGCTTCCCCTTTTATAGATGAAGGGGAAGGCGCTGGTTACATGAGAAAAAAAGAGAGAGGGAGAGAGAGAAAAGCGATGGAGAAGAAGGCCTCCAAGGTCGCGGCGTCCTTCATCTCCTTTATGCGGGTCTTTCCGGCCCTGTAGATGATGACGGGGACGGCTCCATGTCGCGGTCTTGTTCGTTACTGGCGCCATATGTAGGCCTCGTCAGCCAGTCGCGGCACTCCGCTTTGTCCCGGCGGGCGGCGTGGTCAACAGGTACTCCTGTCAGAAGCCGTACGGGGATTAGGCAGCACAGCGCCGGCACGCCCGACACTGTTGGTGACGTGAGCTCCCAGGTATGGTCCGTCGTGGCCACGGGTCATGTCAAGACGTGCCTGTTTCGTGTCAGAGGTTTGACCCTGGGTTCGTACTCTTGTGTCCGTAGTGGTTGGAGACGGTGCCCCCCCTCCCCGTCGGACCTACGTTCCCGCTGGAGGTCGAATCTCGACCCCCAGGGTTGAGCGAGGCGGAATCCCCCTTGAGGGGTCTGGCGAGATGAGGTCCACGCTCTCGGGGTCGGGCGAGACGGAGCCCGTGCCCTTGGGGTCAGGCGAGGCTCTAATTATGCCTTTGACCATTCTGGGTGAGTTGGTGTTCACGGCCATTAGCTTCCTTCTTCTGGGTATCCCTAATCCCGATACCCGACATTTGTACAGTTGTAATTCATTTTTATTATTTTAATTGCAGCGTGCACTGTTTTGTATAAATCTCACGTCTTGGACTCCTTCGGTAAAAGAACCATGAAGGCGAAATTGTGAGGTTGATGTAAAGCCTTTTTGCATTGCTCCTCTCATGATCATCTCGTTTGTCTACATTATACTTTGTTTTTTCCTTGTTAACTATCCTTTTTAGTTGACTGTTTACAATAAGAGATCAAGAATGCTACCCATGCTTGAGTTCAGATCTAGAAGCAGCACCAAGAATTGAGGCCATTCAATTTATATAGCTCTACGTGGTAAATTAAAGAGCATTAGTTCAGTTTTTGCAAACCCAGACTGAAAGATAAAATGATAGAACCATTTTTTTAGCGGAAAATACAGTAGGGGAGGCCCCACTGTAAACTTTTTATTAAACAAAAAAGGAACAGCAACAATTCTATACAAGAAGAAACAAAAAGGGAAGCAAGCCCGAGGTGGGCAGCAGAGCTAAACTAGAGCAGTTGTACAAGAAATGAAGACAGAGCTCTTAGTAGAACTGAATCTATGGGCTTGTAGTATAACTTCTTCATAGAAGGAGCTTTTCTAAGAATCAAAGGCCCCGTTCGCTGGTCTGAAACTTGGCTGAAAAATACTGTTCCGGCTGGTTTGTTGTGAGAGAAAAACACTGTAGCGGCTGAAACTGGCTGAATCTCCAAAGGAGAACCAGCCGGCTGGTTCGCTGGAACCAGACCAATGAACAAGACCAAAGGATGGCCGGCCTCTGTCAAATATAAAGTTGTTTCTCTGCTTCCAAATTTAATGATAGAACCATTAGTAATACTAGTAGCACAGGTACTTTTGTTTTGAAAAAGAGTAGTACTAGTACTTGATTTGTCACCATAGTATAAGCCGAGCTGTGATCCAAAAGGGAGAAACTCAAGCTCCTTGGATGAAGGCCTTTTAGACCTGCAACTTTACATAGACAAGTGCATGATTTCGGTCATATTTAGTGCAACAGTCTAACATGGTGCATATGCATACCATATAGTGCTTGCCAAGATTGTGCATATTGGGTTCCTTACATGGCAGAGTATCTCCATATCTTGAGCGTCTTTTTCATTCAGATCTATCTGTCGTCACCCTGTTCATGTGTTTTAGCGGTTTTCTTCAGGGAGCATGTGTTGTACAATAGTTTTGGTTATCTAATTTACATGGAAATAATCTGTAGTGCAACTTGTTTTCTTACTTTAGTGTGAGGAGCTAAGGATGATATGTCCAGCATTCTTCAAGTATAAATTGTGAAATTATGAAACTCTGAGTTTGTTTTTTTGGTAGAAATTGTGTTTTGATAAGTGCACTTCTTTTTACCATAATTGAGATGAATTGCTACCACACATTGCCTCTCACATGGTTTTCATATTCATTGATGTAATTATTTGCCTAGAGCCTCACATGGCTTTACAAGGTTATGTGCAGTTTTGCTTTTGAGGGTTCTTATTTTTGCAGCAACAGATATAGTATTCATCCTGAATGAATGCCCATTCAATTTTCAGTGTGCACCCTCCTGAATCTTTTATCATAATTAAAGCTAACAATAATTTTTGCTGTTAATTACCTTGGTGTGTGCGGCGACCCTTTCAGCTAAAGGATGTGATTTGTGGTTGTTAATTAGTCGTCTTCAAGTAGTCTGCCAAATAGACAACAGCATATTCAAATGATTTTTGCAGGTGGTGTGGTGCACCCTTTCAGATCTAGCCCAGTTCACCATTAGCTCAGGCTGGAATATGGAATTCCAAACTGCACATGTCGTGCTGGATTCCAATAATATTGGTTCATTTGATTGAGTGTCAAAGTGATCCTTTAAGGATAGAGCTATCTTGTTATCTATTTGTTGTTGACGGAAAAGATTAGAGATTGATGAAGTTGTACATTTTCGTATTCTGAAAATTAATTAATTAAACTATAGTCCTCCCAAGTCCCAACTGTTCCATTGTTTTGCGATTTAATTTCACATGTCATAATGATTTGGACATGTGATTGATGTACGAACTACTCCCTTCAATGCTGATTGTAGCATAACTTTCACAGTGATACAACAAAGTTTTAAGGATTGGTGTTCGACATTTTTTATGATCCAATTAAAATAAGTATGTGGTTGGGGAAAAAAATATTACTAGACAAAAAAAGGGAAAAAGCCGGCCCCTCTAAATACTCAAAAAAGCTGGACACTCAAATGCAGAGAAAGTCGAATTCCGGCAATAGAAAACAATAGAAAAAATAGGAATAAAAAAATCGAGAAAACAAGAAAAAACATCGGAATAAAAAAAAATCGGGCGGCTCATGAATGGACGTCGGGTGCGTGCGGAGGGGTGGGTGGGCAGACGGGCACTCGGTGCCTCGGCCCAGCCCGCGTGAATATAGCTCAAGAAACAACCCATCGTGTGGTATCATCCATCCATGGTTTAATGCGACAGCACATTTGGAAACCAGCATAATGTTGTTTATTTGGGCGGCTCATACAATTCAGCAGCACAGTTCTTGACTTGCATAACAAGTATATAGGGGTTCAAATATTAAACAAAGATTCGTCAAGGAATCCAGCTAAAACAAAAGCTTACGTCAGGTTCAGCAGAGTACGTAGAATAAAGACTACTTGTATGTACACGGTAGTAAAAGCTCCACGACCGTACGTAGGACTACTTGTACACGCTAAAGGCCCCATTACGGTACCAATATCTATTGGGCTTGGCTATGGCTGCACGTTCATTATTAGCTGCACCTTCATCTTGATCCATGAGGGTATCCATATCTTCACTTTGTCCAGCCCCCATCCAGCTGCCATTCAACGATTTCCCAACATCCTAGTGTGATCAGCATATATATTTACAAAGGTGGCAATTTAATTGTAACGACATGTATCAACATTACCTGTTTGGTGGTTGTTTCTCGCCATCTTTAACAATATGGGCCTCCGGACCAGGTAATGATGAATGAGGTTCTATCTTCTCATAATTTGTTCTGTCAAACACAAAAAGATTGGATTCAATAAAAATAATGTTGACTTAACCTCCTCCAGCTTGATTATTGAAATGTTCTAACAAATCTCAGTCAAGTGCAAAACAAAAAACTGTTAGCAGCACTAACAAAAACTTCAACACCGAAAGAAAAATCCACACTTACCGTCCTGTCTTAAAATAGTTCAGAATTCCGCAGAGAAGATCAAACCGCAGGTACGGAGTTCCCATGTTCCTATCATAGTAGTTCATGCCCATAAAATTGCCATTGACATCAACAAGGGGCCCTCCAATCCCAGCCTAACCAGGTTAATTAAATATGGAGAGGTTGTCAGTTGTGATGCCAAGTACACAAGGCCAAGTACATCATATTCATGCGGCAATTAAAAAAATAAAATCAATGGCGCAACCTTAGTGATTGTACATGCAGCGTAACGAAGATCATTGCAATCCAGTTTGCCTGACCACCTGGTACATTTCCCACCTGCAGCCATAACTAAATCTGGTTCAAAGTGACGGCCCACAGCTACTACCTTAGAATAATCCACCGTCTGATGTTTCAGATTCGCAGGACAATCAACATTATAATTCTTGACGCTGACTAGAGCAACATTGTAATGTAAACTATAATGTTCCAATTTCCCTTCACAGTGTTCATTGTTTGGAAGCAACACCTCAATCTGCAAACAATACTACGAGACTTAAAGCAGTGTCTTGAAAGAACAAGAATCGCACAATATAATTAGGAGCACCAACCATTAAGCCCTCAATAATTGTGCCATCACGATTCCTAACCAAGCTTGCTGATGTCAGAATAGCCGGGCATTTATCAGCATAGTAGTCAACAAAAAATCCCATGCATGCAAATAATTTTGATTCACCTGGGCAATATAATTGTCATTAGCTAGTGACGACTAAATACAAATGTGAAATATAGTATAAGCACATTACAGTAAAATCACCATTGAACGAAGCAAGTGCAACAATATTTCCACATATGTGAGGAGCAACTCCTTCCTTAAGTTCATCCCAGACACCATTAGGATATATGTCACCAAAAATCTTAATACTACCTGGTTGACGAGACATCGTATAATAGTTAGTGGCACAGAAGAGCTGTAAAAAGGCTCAATGCATGATAATTCAGCAAATGTACAGGCATTGTGATTGACTATATCCAATGATGGACTGGGGTAACCGAAACAGTCAACCCAAATTGTGCCTTGCTAACGACATGCTAATTCTATGTACAATATGCAACAATCACTTAAATTTCTGCAGATAATATTGTAAAATTATAATATGATGGCATCTTGTGCAACTACTCATATTATAAGTGATTGTGTTTGAACAAATCCATGAACATCCCTATCCTTCAAGGAGCCAGTGATGATCATGATTGCTGTATGCACCCTCAATCCAGATCTTTTCTAGATGGACTAGCAAACTGCCCGTGTGTTGCAACAGCAATACAAAATCAAAGGAGTAAATTTGTGTACATAGTGAACATTGGTTCCGTGACGTCGTTCTAGGAGATTGGGGTGAGGGTGAAACTGATTTGTAATGAGTGGCAGGATGATGGGTAAATATGGTGGTGACATATAGGTGTACAGTGGTGGTGATGGCAGACACCCCATCATCACCAACTCAGTCTTCTATAGGAGTTGAGATTTATGTAGAGATGTGCATGTAGCATTTTATTTACTAAAGTATTGAACTATCTGCATATGTACATACTACATAGTCAGTTGATTTTTATAGGCACACTAATATCTGAAATCAGAAGAAATTTACATTATAAAATCAGAACCTGAGGTATACTTATTTGAGATCATAACGCACAGGCAATGCTAGTGCAGTAGTAAGGTAAGAGGATTGGCGCTAACCAAAGTTCAGCTAGGCGCTGGGCGGAATCTAGGCGCTGACCCTCAGCCTAGCGCCTAGGCGGGATTAATCGCGCCTAGGCGTTCCTAGGCGTTTTCCTAGGCGTTTTCCAATACATGCTTAAATTTATTAATACATACTTAAGTACTTAAAAGAAAAGAAAAAATAGAAGACCAATGGTCATGGAACAGGGAGAAAAGAGAAGAAAGGCCCATAAAAACGGCCCAACCCACCTTGTCCACCGTTAAAAACGGCCCAGCGCACCTTATCCACGCCTCCTCCCACACCGCCGCCGCCCGCGCCTGCGCCCGCCCGAGCGCCTGCCGCCCGCGCAAGCCTGCCGCCCGCTCCTCCTCCCCCACCGACGACCTCTGCCAGGCGCTCCTCCACCACCACCGCCGCCGCCGACGAGCCGCCGTCGCCTAGGGGTCCGCCTACCCCCATAGGCGAGGCGGACACCCTCCGACTAGAGCCTAGTCGCGCCTAGTCGCGCCTAGGCGAGCGCCTAGCGGAACTATGGCGCTAACATTACAATACAACTGTGGAGGACTATACTAGGTAAATATAAGTATAGATGCAAAGGCTTAATTTGCACCACTAAAGGACCTTACAAATAGTGCTGGATCACAATTAAAAAAAGAAACATCTGATAACCAATGTCAAGTGGTTGGGTATTCACCTCCAGGATGGGGTAAAAGTTTCACACCTATGCGTCTTCGTCTTCTTTTATCCCTGTAGATGAAGATCAATATGAGTACTAACCCAAAAGGGACCAACATGAGCAGATAATGCAATAAAACAAGAAAGAACTAACACCCCGTTTGGATGTAGATATTGGAGCCCAGACTTTGGAATTGGAATCAAGTTTCCTCAATGCTGCTGTTTGGATGCACGTGGAATTGAGATTTGGCATTGGAGACCCAATTCCTTGGTATTGAACCTATCCCAATACAGAGCCGGACCCCTCTGTATTGAGTGGAATCGGGGCCTCTTCCCCGTGGCCGGCGGCGCGAGCGCGAGCGCTGTAACACCCCAGGTGTTTGTCACTAGTTAAGCAACGGATTTAAGCTCAACCATGACATGTTAAGTGGTGTTGGAGATGTCAAGGTCAAACCTATGGAAATAAGCCCCAACCTAAACTCGGATATTGCACCCTTGCTTTACATATAGGCCCTTTTCAAGATATATGCTTGGCTGGTGTTATTGAAATATCTTCATGTGTCTCACATCAATACCCATCTATATGGATCACTGGAAAAGTTTCATGAAGTTCAGAATCAAAAAGTCACATGAAATGATAAGTTATATCCTTGTTGGAATGATTTTACTAAGTGCTTGAATTGCACTATTAAGTGAATGAGAACATGAGATGTCAACCAAACCTTGGTACCTTGCTCAAACAACTCTACTTGCACTCATGAACAAAAGTTATGAAGGGTTCATGTTGAGCAGGTGGCCAGAAAATGCTCCAATAGATCAAAAAGGGTGATTTAAGCTTTATAGTGATGCTACTTTGACTTGGTTTGAAATGCAGCTTAGAGTGTTTGCATGGCAGTGGAACCTAAATAAAAGTTGGAGTCCATGTTATGTACAACAAACTTTATGTTTGGACCAAGAGCTAGATCAGCTTGTAAGCAAGTCAAACCGAGGCTCAAAATTTGAATCAGCAGCTGTTTTCAGCACTTGAAATTTGGTTAAGTCATGGATGACTGAATGTATGATTTCAGTTTTCGTGTAGCCCACTTTGGAACCTTGTACCTCCCAAACCAGGCCTAATTAGACTTTGAAGCTTTAATAAAAGTTGGAGGTGGTATGTAGATCTACAACTTTTATTAATAGAGTTTTTGCTAACTCGACGTGGTTTAGGAGTTACAGAGGCACGAAGTATGGGTCTCAGTGGTATGTTTGAGGTAGAATTGAAAATTTGAATTGATGAACACAGCGTCCGACCGTGCACACGAATGCTCGAGCCAGCGTGGCCTCCAGTGCTCGCTGCTCGCCACCTCCTGTCAAGTCGTGTCGTTTGGAGAAGCCGAGCCCGAGTCCCGCCTCCCCTCTCTCCATTCACTCTCTTCCTCTCCTTCCCATTCACTCTTCTCGCTCTCCCTCGGTCTCTCATCGTCTCTCTGTTCGGCATGGCCGAGCAGCAGCCAGCTTCGCATCGCTCTTCTCCTCCATTGCCTAGACATCATCGAGCCTCCCAACACCGCCTCGCTCGCCTTCCCCGCCTCGACCGCCTCCCCAACCCTAGCAAGGCGCCGCCGTTCGCCGTTTAAATGTGTGCGTTGTCGGCTGTGCCGCCGCCACGACATGCCACCGCTGCACGTGGGCCGGGGAGGGCTGACGGCTGCTGCACCGCCTGCGTCTTTGTTGGCGGTAGCGCGCGCCATGACTTACGCTGAAGTCCTCCCCGCCATTGCCGCTCTCTCTGGCCGAGCCCGGCCGGTCAAGCTCAGGACGTGCTTCATCTACGAAGATGAGAACACCGAGGACTTCAAGGCGCAAATTCGAGAAAAGGAAGGTTCTAATCACAAGTCTGTGACTCAAATGAATAGTGCCGATAAGGACCATTTGCGATAAATTTGCTAAATCTTTGGAAATTCATAGTAATTCATAGGAAATTAAGTAAAATAGCAAATGTGGACTTTTTGGAATCCTTGTGAAATTCTCTATGCATTAGATCTATAATATGACATGTTTTAGTTTCAATATTTTATGCGGTAAAATAGATTTGTGCAAGAAGGTTGTAATGCTAGTTGAATTTGTTATTTTCCATAACTGCAGATCTAGGACTCCAAATGAAGTGAAATTTTTGTGGCATGCTACTCATGTGATAGTTGATGTGTGGTAAAAATTTCATGAGTATTGGATGAAGTATGAGTGAGTTATTGGTTTATCTCGCTCTCACATGATTTCTTGCAATAGCAAATTGTCTTTTTTCGAGAGGCAAATTATACTTATGTAAATGGTATGAAATTTGTACAATGAGACTATTGAGAGGATATGTGAGCTATCGTAATTTTGTAGAATTTATTGTGCATTTTTTTATATGTTCATAAATACACCTTGATGTCTAAATAAATTAAGAAATGCTTTAAGAAAATTTATTTAGAGGTGAGCACCATGCTTTTTGGTGTTCTCTAGTCATGTGTGAAATGTTGGTAAAGTTGGTTTTGCCCAATTATGAATTTGCAACATAAGTTAATAATTATTTTCTTGCCGATGTGGTTTATGGATAGATCTAGGAACTTAGCAAAGTTCTTCATGACAATGTGCTTTGTTGTGAAACTTGTTTATACAAAAGTTGTAGATAAATTATGTATCTAGTCATTGTTAAAATTTGGTATCATTTGGCGAGTAGTGTTTGAGTTACAACTGCTTAAAGTTAGAATACGAGATTTGTTGCTCTCTGCTTTGTATGAACCAGTTTACAGAAAAGGTATAATTTCGACCTACTTAACTTGGGAATCATCTTTGTGATGGTTATAGATGAAATGTAGATAATTTCATAAGCTTTCCAAAATGTCTTCTTGCAAGTCATTTGGATTTGTGTAACTCCAGTTATAGCTAAATCTTGTAGTCATTGTTTGCATGTCCGTAAATTGGCGATTCCAATTATAATGTTCGCTTGTATATTGTTAAGTGTGACTTATGCCTTGAATGATGACTGAGTTAGAGCACCTGAGATCTTGGGAAACTTGTGCCATGTTTGGTGTTGTCGTCTTCTTTGCCATCTTAGCATGATAGATTATGTGATGTTTAAGTTAAGCATCGCAAAGTATTTAAGTGTGTTAGTGTAAACTATGCTTGTCTTGCTTGCTATTTTGTGATGCGTCTCATGGTACTATTCTTTATATTTATGTACTTGCATATTACATCTCATCTAGGTACGCTAGATGCACCACGTGAAGGATGAGATGTTGGAGTTAAACCCGAAGACAGCGTTTGATGGATCTATCCCGAGGAGGGAAGGACTAAGCAAGTGCTAGGACCTAAGATGTCACCAAACTGAACTGACTTATGTCGGATCCCAGGCAAGGCCCGGAGCATATTAAGCCTCCTAATTTCCGAAATGCAGTAAAGTATTATTGTTACATATATATATTGTTGCATTAAGTTTAGGTGTTGGATGCAAACACTTGCTGCATTGGTTATCAAATCCTTGTCCGGATATTGATACCTCAATCCTATGTAGCTCAGTGCTCGTGTCTTTGCTTAGCCACGCTTAAACGCGGTAGAAGTCAGGTAATTTCCTGTCACCTGCGAGATATAGGGACATACATATGACACGATTGGCTATATTTGCTATCGTGGAAAAGAACCTGTCTTAATTTGAATTGAAGACCGAGCGAGGCTTGCTTGGTTTTGCGAGGACTCCGTCATGTCGCTTAAGGACTGAATCTTGGAGCCTTTCCTGCTCATGTTGAACTCATGCCTCTCTCTTAGTTGGTAGGAACCGAGACCGACCACGGCCGAGTAGCTCACCTCGGTAGGGAGTCGATAAGTATAAAGTACGCCTCGGAAGGGAGCCGTGGCGTGAGTCCAAGGGCGATGATTTAAAAGTCCCGATTGTCCCGGCGGAAGGGTAATCCACGAGAGTCTTGGCGCCGATCAAACCCAGCAATTTGGTTCATGAGTTGTCCCAAAGGTGACCCACGGCTATCCTTGCAAAGTATGCCAGGGTGAGAGTTAGGAATACCCCCTCAACTGAGTTGTAATTCGATTCGAGTCGCCGTCTCTCCCGGTTAGTGAGAACTTGACGAGCTTATCTCCAAAGTAGATAAACTAAATAACATAATGGTTCAGAAAAGATGATATGATGATGACAGCCTTATTATACCTGCTATGGTTAATATTGTTTGCTCCTAATAAGTGAGTGCTCTAGTACAGGTGCAAATCTAGTGGACAGGTAAATGATGATAAACTTGATGCGAAGTTTAAATTGGTTACTATGTTCATAAGCTCTTTTATGCAACTATGTCCAGCTAGCCCACCTCATAAGCCTTACATGACCCTTGGTGTCCTTTATTTCTAGTTTTGACGGGTAAGTCTAGCTGAGTACCTTCTCGTACTCAGGGTTTATCCCACCATGTTGCAGGTGAAGTTTTCGGCCTGTTGAAGATGGTGGCTAACCGCCGGTGGACTCGGTGATTCTATAGTTACTTCTCGTCTATATGCTTTTGTCGGATGATGTCACTTATGCTAGCAATATATTTAGAACTTATATTAATGTAATCATTTGAAAGCTATGATTGTTTTCACTAAGCGGTTTTGAAACCCAAACTTGTACTATTATTTGTGAACCCATTTATAATATTATTTTCGCTGCAACTCTGTGTATGTGATGTGTATTTGCTTAATCACGCGATCTTGGTTGTGATGTTGATTTACCGTGATCTTTCGGGACACTCGGCGGACTACCGGATTTATATGAGTGAAGGTATGTGTGTCAACGTGTTAGCGGGGACAGCCGTACTTGATCTTGTATAAATTGGGCGGTTCTGTTACAAGCGCCCTCTTCCCCGTGGCCCCCAATGCCTCCCTCTCCTTGCCCAGGTCCCTCAGGTGTCCACCACCCCCGACGCCTCCCTCTCCTTCCCAGTCCCGGCAGTGTGTCGCTCCCGCCCCCCCCCCCCCCCCGCCTACCTCTCTCTTCCCCAGTCCAAGAGGTGTCCACCGGTCAAGGTCGCCCGCCCAGCGCCTCCTCTCTCTTCCCCAGCCCGGTGGGTGTCTGGCGGTCAAGCCCCCCACCCTCGACGCCTCCTCTCCTTCCCAGGCCAGCAGGTGCTCCTCTGGGTGGGGGTGCGCGGTGGAGAGAAGACGTGTCAATTCTATGTACATCCAAACAATAGATTTGGTATTGTGAGTCATTTCCAATACAAGGTTGATTTGGTATTGGTACCAATTCAATGCCAGCACCTTCAATATCTACATCCAAACAGACCCTAAGCAAATGTCTACAAAATCTTAGTCAAGAGATACCATATCCCCAACTAGTTAGTCTCAACATAAAAAATTCTAACATATTTTGAGGTAGACAAATATATTGGCTTCAATATTTCATACAGAGGAATATTGTTACACTACAAGCCTACAATACAGAGCAACTGTGACACCTGCAATAAGACACCTATCACCATTTGAAAATATCTTTCACTAGAGAGTAGACATACCAAACCATCAAGTTGTTATTAAGTGTAAACATTAGAAGCTGCAACTACATAGATAAACAAACTGGAAATATATTTGCATACCTGACTGGCTTCACCAGGTTTAGAAATACACTCTTTTTCAAGGATGTATGAAAATGCCCCAGACGTTCGAGAATTATACTCCTTGGCAAGAAAATTGGTCTTTCCATATCCCAAAAGAGGTTCATGCCAAAAAAGTTCCCATAAAAATCAAAAAGTGCGCCGCCCTGCATAGTCTACAAAAAAATAAAAAATAAAAAGTGGCAGGCTTTAAAGTGATAAAGAATCAGAGTTACTCCCACCTTTATGTTAAAATTGTCACAGTTGATCGTCTTATGCAAATTGTAAATGCTACTGTTTTATCAACAATGTGTAAATACTTTAAAATGTATAATAATTTTGTATTATCTTCCACTGCAAATTCAACCAACACAAAATCCATTCAACTTAACTGTACAGTTTGATAGGTATTGGGAATTTGGGATGGGTAAAAGTAAACAGAGGTAGTACAGTAATATTTTCTTTATTGAATACAAGACATAGTTCAGTTCATAAAGTAACAGAAAAGATTAGAACACTCAGAATAATGCTAGTGTACCTCAGATAATTTACATGTAGAGAACATAACATATCGACTATATTGAGATCCACGTGAATCAGTGCATGTCCCACTTGTGGCCAATACTCCGCCAAAGATGTCACACCCTACTGCCACTACCTTTCTACCATGGGGGTCAAATTGCACCTGATGATTGAGAGGCATGCAATAAACATCAAGGACGGACATGACTTTGACAACAGCAATCTCATGATCCAAATCATATTCTTCCAGAAACCCTATGGCAACATTTCCTTCATGGCGTACTTCAATCTATATTGATAAAAGCAAAACAGCACAGAATAGTCACGATTCTGTACAGTAAACAATAGCGATTAATAAATGATTATCAGCAGCACAAACCTCAAGCTTATCATGGCCATTTGCTTCAGAATCATGTAAAGCTCTAACCAAACTTGCTGAAGTCACAAACTTTGTGAAGTTACACTGGCGTTCTATAACTATGCCAGAGGATGCATATAGCACACTTTGTCCTACAAGATCATAATTTATATCATTCACAACTAAAGATTTGTAGACATATATTTTGAAAAATTTAAGGGTACAACAGAATAATCACCATTGGACAAAGCAATTGAGACAACACTTCTAGACAACTTTGATGCAACTTCCTCACTCAGCTCACTCCAGATATCTTGATTGTCCCAACATAAGTCACCAAATTAAGAAAACATGTTACAAGACACACATGAGCGCTCAAATAGAGCCATAATAAATAAATAAACATGAAGAAAAAATAAGAACCAGCGGACCCGAAATCGACAAGTCAGTTGCCTCTTCTCCACTGCAATTTCTTTTATTATCAGCTGAGAATCTTGTAAGATCATCAGCACCCCTCTTACTTGGCAGCATCTTTCCAAAACTGAAGCAGAATTAAAGGCAAAATGTGGGTCATAACCAGTAAAGCAAACGTTGCTGGGTCAGTGATTCAATTTTTATTTATGCCATACTACTTTCATAAAGCAAACCAAAAGAAATGCACTGTCAACTTGATGGTTGTTAGTTTCTCACTTTTCAAATAATAACAACCAGTTTGTATTCTGTTGAAGGAACACATAGAGTGCAAAATATCATTGTAGTGAAACATATATATTAGTTCCCAACCAATATAGAGCACAAAAAAAATCATATTTCATATTTGATATACAAGATAATACCACAGGCTTATCCAATAAATAGGCCACAACATGCACATTCTCAAGTATTCTGCAAATTTTTGAGAAGAAGAAGCAGGAAATTTATCTTCAGCCAGTATTGTGTTCTTAGTGCAAAAAGAAGAAAATGAAAGAGGACATTAGAGTTATTACCAGCAGGATAAAAGAGATCAGTCCATGGTTGTGCTTCAAGATGGCAACATGTATTTTACCCGTGGATACAGGTCTCACAAACCCGCACCCGCGAGTAAAAATGTGTACCCGCGCCCGCGCCCGCCACCCGCCACGGGCAGCATTATGTGCCCGCGCCCGCTATCCGCGGGCATGCCCGCCAGAACACATACACAGAACACATCAAGTTCTGTCTTCAGTTCATCACACACCACACTAGCACAGTTAAGTAGTTCGCCACACAATCAACAATACAATACATGCATACAAGAACACATCAGGTTATGTCTCAGTTCACCACACATACAAAAACACATTGCTCAACTGCAAAGTCTTCCAAGTGATGCAAATAAACAAGACATGAACAAGTCGGCGCCCAGATCTGCACTACCAGAAACTAATCACTAACCAGACTTGCACTTCGAGGAGGATGGCCGAAGGCTTGGCTAGATGTGCAGGCCTGCAGGGCAGCCGGCGGCTCGACGGAGGCCAAATCGACGAACGGCTGCAGGGGGCAGGGCGACTGGCCGCTAGAGGCTCGACGAACGGCGTGACGGCGGTGGGGATGGCGGCTCGACGAACGACAGGGACGGCGGCTCGACGAACGGCGAGGACGGCGTGACGGCGAGCAGGACGACGGGGACGGCGCCGGGGAGCCGACGGCAGCGGGTCGCCTGGAGCGGGACGGCAGCTGGCCGCTGGGTCTGGGCTGGGGGGAGCCCGGAGGTGTGGATCAGGGGCAGGGCACGGGGTGTACGGCCGCAGGAAGGCCGAACCGCCGAAGGCAGGGGCGGTTGGTGGGGGTGTGCGGGAGTGCGGGACAGCTGGGTGCGGGGCTGCGGGCAACGGGCGTGCGGCGCTGGGGGTGGGGTGGGGTGGGGATGGCATGAAATTAGGGTTTCTATCTTTCTGATCTACCAATATATACTTGTTTGGCTATGACCCCCACATGGAAGTAATTAAGGGGGGGTTTGTGAATACGGGCACGCTATTTTCTTACCCGTTAACAAATGCCCGTTGGATTTATACCTCTGCCCATACCCGTGCCTACGGATGCACTTTGGTGCCCGCTGGTTTTGATAGCCACGGGTACGCGGGTATTCTGTGCCCATTGCCATCTTTAGTTGTGTTGTGACTTGATTACAATCAAGCGTACTACTACGGTTAGCTATGCAATACATGTGAAGTCATAGAGCGGCTCTCGTGAAGCAGACGACATGGCATAAGATGCCTTAGCATCTACCGTTGGTTCTTCTTCTACACCATCTGTATGCATTGCAACACCAGAGTCGGCTAACATTTCATCTATATTCATGTTCCAGTGTCGGCTCACTAACAGCGCGCTCTCCATGGTCAGTCCATATGGTATACCCAGGTATAAATCCTCTTTTACACAAATACACGCTCATTACTGGTCTCCTCCGTCTAACTCTATTGCGACAATCTGAACAAGGACAAGCTACTCTAGTTTTTTCAACATTAGAACCAACACGAAAGCACGGTCTAGAAAGGCAGTTATGTTGCACACCCATTGCTGGGAATGATAGCCATTATCATTCCAACCTTGGTACATCCAACCATGATCTTCTATCAACATGGCTTACGATGTGACAATATCCCCCCACACTTAGTCCTTTGCTCGTCCTCGAATAAAGCTTAGGACTAAGATGGTTTATTCTCCTTGATATGAAACTTGCATACAAGTTATTCCAAGCTTCACCTGGACCTGTGAACATTATGAGTGTCTACCAAATTCTCTTGAGTAATTGGATAATGGAACAGCATGGATTCAAACCTCTTACTCTACTCTGCTTGGAAACTTGGGTTTTTAAGTTTTGAAAAAGTAAAGATAGCTTTGCTCCTTAAATGATACTCTCAGATCACTCATATTTTGTATTTGGTTGGCACCAAGGCATATCTTTGCGGTTTGCCTTCTTTTTGGTCATCCTATTTCTAAAAGCTTATAAGGAGTTTTGGGTATGGATGATAAACTTGGCACGTTTACCTTGCATATGTTGTAAGGTCAAATCATGGATCAAGAAGAGAAGCGTCATACTCTTAGATAAAAAATGTGCATGTGTGTGGTATATGGTAAAAACTATACTCCTTTGTTTGATATGATCTTTTTCTCTAGCTTCTTTATTTTTGAGACATGGCTATCATCATATTTTTCTTTCTTTTTGTGAGCCTTCATGTGGTCATCATCTTTCTTTTTTTCAATACTTAGGACATGTCGGTGTTTTGAGTTACCACCGACGAGTAAATTTATATTATTGCACGTTTGGCTTGGATAGTGTGCTTAGAGGACACGAGGTTTATACTGGTTTGGGGAGAAAGTCCCTACGTCTAGTTCATCGCTGCGGCTCGTGTTACTAGCACCGAAAGTTTGTAGTAGGGGTTACAAGCGGGCGAGAGAGGGAAAGCATCCCAAGTCTCTAGTGAAAGGAGTGAGTGGGTGCTGAGAGCTCGATCGCTGCTCAGCTGTGCATTTGTGTCATGCTCTTGTTCAGATCTGTATCGGATCTTGATGGGTCGATTGATCCATCCACTTCATAGGGCGTCCTGCTTTCCCTTTTATAGGCCAAGGGAAAGCGCGGGTTACAGCGGAGGAAAAGGAGAAGAACCAGAGAGGGAGGAAGGCCTTCAGGATCACCGAGTCCTTCTTCTCCTTCATGCGGGCCCCGCCGACCCTGTATGATGAGTACAGGCCCCATCTTCCGAGAGGTAGTCGGTAAGTTCGATTTGTAGAGATCTCGACGTTGGCGATCTGGCTTTAAATCAGACACGATTCGAACCCTGCAATCGTTACACCACTGCTCCATTGGTTATCAACCAAGCACAACTTGATTGACCTCGCTAAGAAGGTTTTTTCTGCAAGTGAATCGAAGAGCACAAGCAAGAAGGTAAAACACACAATCTGAAATTGCAAATATGAATGACGCGAATATCAATAGAGGATTCAAGAACTCAGTTCCAAAGGACTAATCAACACAGTGGAGGAGATCAAGAACGGAGACCCTGGATCACTGTAAAAAGGATTTGTCACCACAGTTACAATGAACGATTCAGTTTCTCAATGGAAAACTAAACTCTAAACAAAACCCAATTGTGTAGCAGCGGCGGCGGCTGTGTTTATAGTCTAAGACTCGACCTAGGGTTGGGGACGGCCAGGGGTTGGGCGCCCACAACTTGGGCTTAAGGGCCGACAAGATACATGGCCAAGTTGGCCCAAATAGGTGACGCAGCACCTTGCCGTGGTCACACAGAATGATCCATGGACCTTCTGGAGCTGGGACCAGATCCAAAACGACGGTGTCGTCGTCCCCTTTCCAACGCATCCAAGAACGGCCTATTTCGATGTGGTATGAGAAAGTTATGACCGAAACAGTGACGACGTGTCTGCTGAATCCGAGGGCGACGTGGCGGTGAGTTGGGAAACGAATTGCAACTTGGGGAAGACCATGGCGTCGGTGTGTCCAGCGTGGCGATGTCCTCATCATCCTCCCTTCTCGAATTGGAGTCGTCCTCGACTCCATCTTGGCGATGTCCTCATCATCCCTCCTAGAATTGGAGTCGTCCTCGACTCCATCCCATCATCGTGAACTCCCGCAAAAGGTTAGTGACAAAGCAGGGCAATGCACCGACATAAAAGGTTGACAAAACATAGTATAACATGGTGCATCGATTATCATATAACTCAAAGATGGCGAAGTTGTAGCAAGAAAAGCACCTCCTTTTAACTTAATTCCATTATTTTTAGCAATGTCATTTGGAGGTTTATTTTAATCTCATTAGCATGTTTAATAATATCCGTAGGAGACAAAGGCAACAATGTAATTTTCTTGTCCTTATGTATGATAGTGTATGTATTAGTTCTACCATGGTGTAAAGCATCATTATCAAATTCCCATGGGCGACCTAACAAAATGGAACAAGCTTGCATAGGGACAACATCAAAGTCAGCAGTATCATGATAAGAGCCTGTGAAAAAGCTAATGCGTGCTGATTTAGTTATCTTAGTCTTACCACTAGTATTGAACCATTGAAGTTTATATGGATACGAATGTTGTCGTGTGGTCAAGCCAAGCTTGTCAACCAAATCTGAACTCATCAAGTTGTTGCAACTCCTGCTATCAATGATAGTGAGAACACGACAACCCTGCACAATGAGATGCATGTGGAACAAATTGTGGCGTTGGATCTTCATCTCTTCTTCATGTCCCACACGTGTACTCAACACACGCTGCACAAGAAGGCTAGGGTAGTCTGTGGCAGCAGCCACGGAGTCAATGGTGATGGCCTCCTTGTCTTGATCGCCCTCGGTGGGATCTGCATCAATGTTAGCAGCAAGGGCTAAATCATCTTTAACATCACTAGCACTTACATATCCATCCTCGGTAGCAATGAAAGCGCGACGACTAGGGCAATCCTTCATGACATGTCCCATGCCTTTGCATCGGTGGCAAATGATTTTAGAGTCGGACGAGGAGGAGCTAGTAGAAGCACCGAGTGGCACCTTTCTTCACCGTGGAAGCGCACATTAGACAATTTACTTACCCCGGAAGAAAATGGAGGTGTAGATGGTCGTGGTGCAACAGAAGCTTAGGCGTCTCCGGCTCGAACAACACTGAAAATTCCTCCCATTGTTAGACTTGAAAGGCTGGTGTTGTTTGTGTCCCTGTACTTCTCGTTCTGCCTTAATAGCAAGATGATACAATTGAGAAAAATTGCACCATTCTTTGTAATCAAGTATGTTCTGTATATCATGGTTTAAACCACCAAAAAAATCTAGCACTAGCATCATGATCATCTTCATTTATACCACAACATACTAAACTAATAAGCAATTCTTGATAGTATGCTTCTAATCCTTTATCACCTTGTTTTAAAGTTTGTAGTTTCAAACGTAAATCACGTTGGTAATAAGGAGGAACAAAATGAGATTTCATACGTTGCTTTAGAACATTCCAAGTTTGAGGCACAGCAGCAACATTATTGGCATTGCAAAGATCACTCCACCAGAACAAAGCAAAATTAGTAAACTCACTAGTAGCAAGTCTAACTCTATGCTCAGCAGGAACATTATGAGAATCAAATTTTTATTGAACAGCAAGCTCCCAATCTAAATATGCCTCTGGATCAACATTACCAGCAAAAGGAGGTAGACTAAATTTAATTTTAGCAAAAGGATCATTATTACCATGATTATTACCTTCCATACCGCGACGATTGAAGTTGAGGCGGCGATAGGCACCACCGTCAGCATACGCATCTTCATCACCAAAAGCATCCGTATCTTCATCATCAGCACGATAAGGTGGAGGGCGTTGCTCAAGCTATTCAATGCGGGTGACCAGATTGTCCACGTTGCGCGTCAGCTCGGTCATAAGATTGCGTTGTTCAGTCATGAACGTTGTAAGCTCGCCCTTGGACACACACTCATTGAAGTCCGTCGAAGTTCCTGCCATGATTAGAAGATAGAAAAAGACAACACCAAAATATTATCCCTATCAACTAAAAGGAAACAAGTGGTGGTGGTGGTGATGGTGGTGAAAGTGGAATGCAAAATCACAAGCGGTTTACCACCGTCTTGCCTGTATTCTTACCAACGCCAAACAGGAGCAAAATCAAAGTGGCGAAGCAATCTGTTGTTGAGCGTGGGTAACAGTTGCAAGATGAACCTGTGCTGACAGAAGAATATGTGAAGCTATGGGTAGGCACACAATATGACAGCAAGGATTAGCAATTAACGAGTGCAGAGTAACGATTGTTCAATTCGGATCCAAAGTACAAATCACAGGTGCTGGCTAAGACGTGTCAAGACGTAGCGCAACAAGGTGAAAACAAAGGACGATCGAAAGAACTCACAGAACAAGCAAATAGCCCGGAATTCTCCTTTTTTCCCGAATTTTTTTCCCGGATTTTTCCAAAAGGCACTAGTAGGAAACAAATTTTTTTTTATTTTTTCACTATTTTTTATATACTTTTCTCTGAACAAGGATCACAAAAGATGGAACCACAAAAATTGGCACCTACAACTGAGGTGGGATGTGGTCTACAGAAATTCAGCACGTTCTCTGAAAAGCATGCAAAAACTTTGACAATTTTTTTT